CAGGACACACAATATCATAACTGTCACAAAAATATCTACGGAAGATCACATACAACCCTAGCTGTTATCGCGATACATGATGAAAATTTTGTTAGCACAGTATCTACAGAATATAAAATCACTAGCTCTTATCATAACCACCACACAAGTTAAAAATATTGTTGCCACAGTATCTGCAGAGGAGATAAAATCACTAGCTATTATCTCCTGCTGTTATCACTACAGTAAAACTCGCATAAGTCGACACTTTTGGGACCAGCATATTTGTGCCAACTTACGAAAATGGACGGCACATACACGTAAGTCGTCAATTTTTAGATCGACTTATACGTAGGCTCTCCGCTCCAGGCGCCCGTCACCCCTACGCAGTCATAAACATACTCCACACACGATGTCGGTTCGCGCCACATACATAGCAGACATGAAACAATCGGGTCCGTACATCAATCGACACCGCTGCTGGTCATAACGCACGCATGGCGTACGAACTAGCGGCAAGCGCAGCACACGCTGGCTATCTGTAACACCCGCTGTTGATTACACGTTTAATGGTTTGGACATTGCAGGACATTTGCGGTGCACATCTGCCAAATATTCTTGGAACACTTGCTGAAAAAATACGGCAATTCCGCAATGCCGTGCTCTAGAACAAACTAGTTAGTATAGCAGATTTTTCGGGGAGTCACGCGGACTCCATTATTATGTCAAATCAGGGAGTCCGGCAGTAAATCAGGGAGCATTTGACTCCGGACTCGCGTTAACTTCGCATCCTGCATTGGGCTGCATACACTGGGGAATCTGGGGGATGTGCGAGCTGAAAAATTCGAGCTGCGACAGCCAGCTCGCACATCCCCTAGACCAGACACTGCGCGCGCGCCATCGGCATTTCTAATGACGACTTAGAATGGGAAATTACTGTTGTTTGTATTACATGGGACCTGTCTGAGGGCGCCGACTTGAACATAATGACGACTTATAAATGACGAGTTAGGCGGGGCTATTCCAATGGATTTACTATGATAGAAAATCGGGACTTTTACTTCCATGACGACTTATCCGAATTGACGAGTTAGACGATGACGACTTATGCGAGTTTTGCTGTACCAACATTGTACGATAACACAGCTATTACTACAGCCACCACACAGCCACCAAGCATGATAACACCTCTGTTACCACAGTCACCATGCAGGATAACACCACTGTTACCACAGACACCATGCATGATAACACCTCTGTTACCACAGACACCATGCAGGATAACACCTCTGTTACCACAGACACCATGCAGGATAACACCTTCTGTTACGGACAGACAACCAATGCAGGATAACACCGTCTTGTTACCTACATGACAACCATGCAGGATAACAACCAGCGCACTGGTTACGCACAGAACACCGATGCGCATGATAACCTCTTGTACACAGACACCCATGCATAGATAACCCTCTGTTACCACAGACAGCATGCATGATAACCTCTGTTACTCACAGAACCAAATGCATGATATACACTACTGACTGTTACCACAGACACCGAATGGGCATGATTTAACGCTCTGTTACCACAGACAGCCATGCATGAATAACCTCTGTTACCACAGACACGCATGCAGGATAGACTACCTCTGTTACGCAACAGAACACGCGATGGCAGGAGATAACACCACTGTTACCAGCAGAACACATGCAGAATAACCTCTGTTACCACAGACACCATGGCAGGATAAGCTCTGTTAGCCAACAGACACGCATGCAGGATAACACCTCCTGTTAACCACAAAGACACCATGCAGGATATACACCACTGTTAGCCAGACAGAACACCATGCAGGATAACCTCTGTTTACCAAGACACCGATGCCAGGATAACAACCTCTGTTTTACACAGACAGCCATGGCAGGATAACACCATCTGACTGTTTTACCCCACAGACCCATGCAGGATAACACCACTGTTAGCCGACAGACACCATGACCTGATAACACGCAAATGTACGCACAGACAATGCAGGATAAACCACCAGCTGTTAGCCACATGACACCGTATGCAGGATAACACCTCTGTTACCACAGACACATGGCAGGATAAACCGTCTCTACCACAGACACCATGCAGCGAATAACACCAATAGTTTACCGACAGACACTCATGCAGGATAACACTCAATGTTTACCACCAGCACAAATGCATGATAACACCAATGTTAACCCACAGCGCACCATGCATGATAACACCCTGTTCCGACAGTCAGCCAATGCATGATAACACCACTGTTACCCAACAATGACACCGATGCAGGATAAGCACCATGTTAACCACAGACACCATGCAGGGATAACACCAGCTGATTACCACAGACACCACGCAGGTAACACCTCTGTTACCCACAGACACCATGCAGGAATAACACCAATGTTACCACAGATCACCATGCAGGATAACACCAATGTTACCACAGTCACGCAACTGCATGATAACACCAATGTTCCACAGTCACGCATGCATGATAACACCAATGTTTACCACAGGCACGGCCATGCAGTGATAACACCACTGTTACCGACAGTTCAGCCATGCATGATTAACACCCACTGTTTACCACAGACCCAATGGCAGGATAATGCACATGTTACCGACAGACACCATGGTCAGGAGTAACACCCCAAGTACAGAGCAGACACCATGCAAAGGATAAACGCACTGTTACGCACAGACTACCGTGCGCACGGCAGGATATAACGCGTCTGTTACGCCAAGACACGCAATGCAGGAATAACACCTCTGTTACCACAGACCCATAGCAGGATAAACACCATGTTACCAGCAGACGCACGCGCAGCCCATGGCATGATAACACCAATGTTACCACAGTCACCATGCATGATAACACCAATGTTACCACAGGCACCATGCATGATAACACCACTGTTACCACAGTCACTCATCATGATACGACCACTGTACGCCACAGGACACCATGTCAGGATAACACCACTGTTACCACAAGTCACCATGCAGGATAACACCCACTGTGTACCACAGACACCATGCAAGGATAAGCACCAACTGACTAGTTACACAGAAGCACCATGCAGGATAACTCTGTTACCACACGAGCACCATGCAGCGGATCCCAACACACTGTTACCACAGACACCATGCATGATAACATACATCACTGTTATCACAGACATCCGGCATGATAACACCAATGTTACCACAGACACCATGCATGATAACACCAATGTTACCACAGACACCATGCATGATAACACCAATGTTACCACAGACACCATGCAGGATAACACCACTGTTACACAGACACCATGGCAGGATAAAGACCTCTGTTACCAGCAGACACCATGCAATGATGAACACCAACTGTTACCACAAGACACCGATGCATGATACAACCACTGTTCCCACAGTCACCAATGCAGGATAATAAACACCTACTGACTGTTACGCCAGACACCAATGATGATAAACCTCTGTTACCAGCAGACACCATGCAGGATAACACCCAATGTTACCGAACAACACGCATGACCGGATAACGACGTCTGTTACCGACAGACACCATGCAGGATAACACCTGCTGTTAACCGAAACAGTCAGGCCATGGCAGGATAAGCACCACTGACTGTTACCAACAGACACGCATGGCGGATAACACCAAAACTGTTACCACAGATACACCCATGCAATGATAACACCACTGTTACCGCAGACACCATGCATGATAACACCACTGTTACCGACAGACAACCATGCAACTGATAACACCACTGTTACCACAGTCACGCATGGCAGGGATAACACCAACTGGACGTTTACCAACAGACACCATGCATGATAACCTCTGTTACCACAGACAGCCATGCAAGGATAACACCGACTGTTACCACAGACACCATGCATGATAACACACACTGTTACCAACCAGAACAATGCAGGATAAGCACCGACTGTTACGCCCACAGACACCGATGGCATGATAACACCATCTGTTACCACAGACACCATGCATGATAACACACTGTACCACAGTCACCATGCAGGAAACACACGACTGTTAGCCGAAGCACCATGTGCATGATAACCTCTGTTAGCCACAGAAACCACGCCGCAATGCCAGGATAACACCACTGTTACCACAGTCACCATGGCAGGATAAACACCACTGACTGTTACCACAGACACCATGCATGATAACCTCTGTTACCCACCAGACACCATGCAGGATAAACCACTGTTACCAGCAGTCACCATGCAGGATAACACGAGAGTTTGGGTGGATGGCCACTGTTACCACATGACACCATGCAGATAACCACCCAATGTTACCACAGTCAGGCCATGCATGATAACCCAATGTTACCACAGACACCATGCAAGGATAACACCATGCTCTGTTACCGACAGACAACCATGCTCGGATAACACCGACTGTTACCAAGACAACCATCAGGATAACACCTCTGTTACCTACAGACCACCATGCAGTGATAACACCACTGGACTGTTAGCCGAAGCAGACACCATGCAGAGATAACACCACTGTTACCACAGACACCATGCAGGATAACACCACTGTTACCACAGACACCATGCAGGATAACACCACTGTTACCACAGACACCATGCATGATAACACCACTGTTACCACAGACACCATGCATGATAACACCAATGTTACCACAGGCACCATGCATGATAACACCTCTGTTACCACAGACACTATGCATGATAACACCACGCACTGTTACCACAGACACCATGCATGCTAACACCATGCACTGTTACCACAGTCACCATGCTGGACAACACCAACATTACCAGTCACAAATAATTTATTGCTGTTATATTATGTCATACCAGAAATCTTACATATACCACACAAACAACTTAGCATATATTGCGCATTGGCTAACCCACCATGTACTTTCGACAAGGCTCAACATTAGGGGTGCCAGATGATTTATTTTCAAGCTGCCTGTATTCGTCTTGCTGTGCCCAGTAAGCACGGACATCCATTGTAAGTTCCACTGGTGCCTGCAGACACAAAGGTACATTCATGATTAACAAAAGAATCGGTATTTGCTCTAAACAGAACTAACAGGTGCAATGAAGTTACATCTACATGGTAATTAATGCAGGTTTTTATGTTATACCAATTGATCAGGAACCACTATGCAAGAATTACAAAGATTTGTTGGTTATACTTGTATAAAAAAAAACTACCACTAGATTCAACATCACTGATACACTTGAATAGTACTGAGAATAACAGAGAAAAGTAATTTGACAGTACAATATCTATAAGACGCAGTCTTCAAGAAAAACTTTTTGAGCCATTTGCATTTCAGGCGTCAGGTAAGTATTCTGTAAATTGTACATGCCCGAATGGCATTCTAGTTGCCCATATATTTTGCAGGAATATTTTTGGAATATCGAGTAAAGAAGTGTACACCAGACAACTTCTAGACGCCATTCGTTTATGGTGTTAAAATTTCGTGATTTTAAATTTAATACCTTTAGTTAATGGCAAGTTTTATTATATTTTATGCATTTTTAAACCAGGAGCCCGTCGAGCGTGTGAGCTTGCAATGTTTACATGCCCACCGAGATTTCTACACGTCTCGGATGCCCGGCTAAATTCGAAGACTGATAAGACCCATCTACTTTCCTTTCTTCTTACAACCCCTTCTCTCCTCACTTCTTCTTCATCCTATGGTTGGGTCTTTGTTTATTAAATCATTGACACATGTAGCTCATTCTTTATGATGATGCAATTGCCCAGACCATTGGTTCAATGTATTTATTATACCCTTCTCATTTTACAAAACAATTTAGAAACTTACAGTGAAAAGATCAGGTGCATGTTTAATCATGAACGCTACAGCCTTTGTCATATTGATCGCATTCTTGTGCAGTTCTGTAGCTGTCATCTGCAAATAATGTGCAACTTATAACATTATATGCAATGAATATGTACTATATAGCACACGTTGGAGTCAGTATAACCTACATATAGATATTACAAAAAACTGTTATTTTCCAACTAGGCCACCTGTACTGCACAACAAACTCATAGCAAACTACTGCAAAATATAACATGAACATACACGTCTGCATTATTATTATATTTCAGGCACAATGTACATGCATTGTAAACAGCAACACAATATATGCCATAATAATCTGATTACACTTGTAACAACACTTACTTTGCGAGGGCAAAGAATGTGAGGAGCAAACATAGTTCCAAGATTGTCTGCATTCATACGATTATCTTCTTGAACCTCCGTCACTCTATGTAGTAAATTTAGCAAATCTCTCAGCAATCTATAAAAAAAGAAAATAGATTCAATAACACGTAAGACCTATCTTTGTAATTCTGATACAAATTCACACAACTAGACAGCTGAGATTATTATAAGCACTTAGTTACAAAGTGAATTAAATATGTCAATTTCACAATCATGTCAATATGTATATTCATGCATTTTACATTACAAACTAATGTGATTGCGATATCAAAGGCCCGTGAAACAATATAGGCATGGGAGTACCTATAGGTTTCTGGTGGCAGTAACAGGAAAAGAAGCTGTACAGCCTTGACCTGTCTGGCTAGAACTTTTGCATCATGCGCTGATTCTTCATTCATCAATTCTTAAAAGAAAGTAAAGTAGGGTCTGGCACATTAGGGAAAGTACAAACCCAAGCAAACTTGTTCGCAAACATTTATTCTAATGATGTAGGCATGAGAATAGGAAATATCTGAAGTGCTCGGTAGTTTTTCAAAAATTCTGAAATGACCTTAATACCATAATCAATAGCATAAAGGCATTTATAGTTATACATGTTTAAATGAAGCATGTTCATGATAATATACACAGAAGTATATATATGTAGCAGTGCACGTAGATTACAACATACTAGATATTTGGCAATGGGCAAGGTAATGGTTCTCAGTGAGCAAAGGTTCTGGCAGCTCTCCAAGGAACCTCTTCAGCACACAAGCACAGTCGTGAGCACTGAATCGCCCGCTGTCCAGATCTATTGCAACGCCTTGGTCAAGCAAAGTTGTCAACTCTTTTTGCCTTGACATCTGACCGCTCTTCCGGAATAGACCAACTTGTTTGATATCTATGACAAAGGAATTCTATTACAGAAGCCTATAGAGTAGGGGTTTGGGTCATTCTGTGCATACAGCGTGCATGATGTAAAGATGCAGGTGAAATTAATTGATACGTGTACGGCCTGTATTAGTGTTAGTATAACCATAAAAATACCAGGATACCAATACAATTATATAGATATGATCATCATGGTATTACCTAATATCTAGTATTCTTAGTAACCATGATTAATTAACCTATTATAATCAATAATTAATCGGTAAAGGGCAATACGAGAGTGATTACAATTCCAATCACTAATTTTTAGTCTTACTTTGGTTTCTACCCAGGTACTGTATGAGCTGAAAAACCTGGGAGATTCCTTCCTGTGTGAGTGTTGCTCCAAAAATTCCACCTTTTAGAGAAGCTGCAAAAACCCGATTTTTTCATGTGAGTCACAAGTGTATGAGTCAGTCTCAGCGTTACACAAAACTCAATAGATATATAATAATCGGCACATATGGTCTAAGTATAATATATTAAGCAATCTATAACAGTGGTTCTTAGTGTAGCTCATTATTGATCATAAAGTAAATAAACAACATTTTTTCCAGGACCCCGAGATTTAAGACAGATTCAAGCTTTGTACTTACTACCTTCAATAAATAATTTGTAAATAAATTCTTGCCTAATATGAGCTTTATTGTTAGGACTTTTCAGTATCATATAGCCCATTTTCCATTAATTTTCATACCTGGAAAATTACATTCTAAAATTCTATGACTTTTCAGGCCTTTCTGTAGCCGTACAAACCCTGTACACCACTGTGATAACAAGAATACACATACTACGCCGGGAATTTCTTCTCTTTGAAAATGGTGTCATAGGCTTCACCATCTTTTTTGCTCTTTCAGCTCCATTGCAGGTAGAGAGTATCTGGTTTAGCTCTGAGCTTCCGAGTTCAAGTGCAAACGTCAAGTGCATTAGACAGAGCTCTACGAAGCGCTCAGGTGCCATAGTACGCATTCTGTCAAGCTCATCTGTCTTGATTGCAGGCACAAGGCTTTGCAATAGCAATCTTTTCTGAGCCATCACTGCCGTATGTAAAGAATTCCTGAGCTACCCAGACAGCAGTATGGAACTTTGAAGTTTTAGTACGTCGTCTTAGTTGTCAGGATTCCTGCAATAAATATTATTTATTAATTAGACTTACACATAACATTTTTTATATGATTCATTTCTCAATGTTTGTTGCTGGAGTAGGGAATTCTATGTATAGTTTTGGGCTGCTGTTGGCATGTCGCATCAATTGTTAGCAACCTTTAGCAATTCATCCTCTTGGGCTTAAATAATCAGAAAAATTATGTTGGCATTTTAGGGTATGTTATGACATCATGAAGTCATGCTTTGCCACATTATACAGGGCTCCCTCTGGATGTTTTAAAGTTTGAGCCAAGACTTGAGCAACCAGTTATTTTGTACTCACCAATGAAAAACTATAGCCACTGATCACTTTATCGTATGTGCTAAGCAAGGCGTAAACAGGCGATGGGTATCAGAAAAGAGGTGTACGAAAACATTTTATGACACGACACTGCAATTTGACGATTTTGTTATTCACTCATAATTTTGTGAGTAAGTTGAATCAGCTAGGCCTAGTGTAGTAAAATCCCAACTGATATTTATTTATCGCATTTTGCTAAGGTGACACCAATATTGATCCAAATGAAAGGATTTGTGAGGTATTAATTATTAGTAATATGGCTATAAGTGTCTAGTAGTAGTTAGGCTGAGAGGGTCTAGGTCCCCCAGGGTACTGCCGGAACGTACCCTAGGTACGGTCCGGTATACCGGAACATACCCTGGTACTATTTAATATGCCGGACCGTACTTCGCCTACTACACTAACGAGTCTAGGGAGTCGCCTACACCTACTCCCTAACCCTACCAAATAGTTTACAGGGTACGTTCGGTATACCGGACCGTACCCAGGGTACGTTCCAGCAGCACCCTGGGGGACATAGACCCTATAAGCATGACTATGAGTATGAGCAGTAGTTAGTGATATAGTGGATAGTATACTATGCCAATCTGAATCTGAATTCAACACATCTGGATCTTGATTGTCTTTCAAATAAATCGAAAAATTAATACATGTAGACAAATTTGGTCTCACCTGTGCTAGTACTAGTAGTACCAGGAGTAAGATAATATAGGATCCTATATTATCTTACTCCTGGTAGTACTAGTACTACTACTACTAGTACTAGTACTAGTAGGCTACTGTTGTTATTGTTACAATGTTAGCAAACATCATATTCATAGGCCTATTTACTGACTGATTACTCGAGCATCAACTTCATCAACGATCAAGTTTACGCGGTTGAAGTTATTCTTTGTAATACGTGCATTTATAACTATCTACATTAACAACTGCAAATCAAATCTACGGCATCCAACTAATCAGTAACTTACTGAGTAAGAACCCACAGTTTACAACAAAGTTCTATGGGCTGATCACGATCATTTTTAGCGCCCTAACAACTTCAACAAGCGATTCGACGGGGCATTTCGATCGCCCGTAGATGGGTTATCTGTCTCATCGATTGTGAAACAGCCTAACGTTGATGCTTACTACCAGGCAAAATGCTAGCAGTGGACCAGTCTATAGACGTACAGTGCCAATTTATATAAATGTGCCCTGCCATTGGATAGACTGTTTAAATAAGTCAAATACAATTGGCTGTTGAGTTAAGACAAAAAAGATGCGGATTGCGTGAGAATTTTTTAATTACTCGTTAACTTCCATTACTCGTTACCATAGAAATGTATAGAGACACTACTCTAGTATATTATCCCTATGGTTTTACCCATAGAAATATATAGAAATACTAAATTGCTGATAGCCCAAGAAAATTGAACACCAGCGAGCGACGCTAGCGCCCCTACCGAACAATAGCGCCCCTACCGCGGGAGATTTGTGTTACCTATGGTCAGAGCATATAAATCACCTATTGTGATTTATATGCTCTGCTATGGTGTTACATTAAATTTTGTGTTACCATAAATATTAGATACAATGTTGTAACCCAACACAAGAGTAGGTAGATACAATAATGTAACCAAGGATAGGGAGGGGTTCACATTATTGTATCTAAAGAGTAGGGTACTAGGGTGTGTTGACTACTGTGTTGACTACTGTGTTATTGTATCCAGGCCCGTCGAAGCCGCTACGGTTGGTACGGGATTGACCGTACCACTTTTCGGCCTAAAAAAAAGAAGAAAAGAAAAAAAGAGAGATGGAGAGGGAGAAGAAAAGAGAAGAGAAAAGGAGAGAGAGAGAGGGAGAAGAAATGAGAAGAGAAAAGAAGTGAGAAGGTGGGAGGGTGATAAATGTCATGATCATAGGCTGATCGTAGGCTTTTCACCAGCTTAATTAATGGAAGAACACGAACATCGAAGTGACTTTGCTTTTTTCCATTATTATGAAACGCATTATCACATAAACCGAAGAACAGCATATATATGCCACAAAACCTTTTCATCCAATCGCAAATCTTAAAAATAATATCCTCAAGAAAGTGATAAATTAAGCTCGCCACCTAACCGTGAAACCTCCTATTTATAGGTTAGGGTTAGCAGCTTGACCTCAATTTCTATTTAATGAAGAGTAATTTGTCCTTTTCTGTAATACAATAAAAGCATAAAAAATAACTTAATTTTTAAAGTGTGCTAAATTGCATGATTTGCACCCCAATTCAAAAAAGGTTCTTACCGAGGGAGGGGGATACCCCCTCCTACACCCTCCCCCGCTCGATCGCTCCGCTCCCTCGCATCGTTTCCTGTCCCGTAATCAAATTTCTAAAATCTGGTCACCCTGTCTGCCCCTTCGAACCCCACTGGGGCGCCACTGAAACCGTACCACTTTAAAATTCCTTCCGACGGGCCTGATTGTATCTACCATAAGCTACGTCTACACGACGAACCTTAACTCGAGTTAAGCGTCTACACGGGACCTTAACTCGAGTTAAGGTAACTCGAGTTACGATAACTCGAGTTAAGGCCCGTGTAGACGCTTAACTCGAGTTAGCTTAACCTCCACGATAGGCGGCAGCACTAGTACGATGTACTTACACACGCACGCACGCGTACTTGCACACGCACGCACACACTCATGCACGCACGCACGCACGTGTACGTGCACACGCATGCACGCACGCACGCACGTGTACGTGCACACGCACGCACACACTCATGCACTCACGCACGTGTACGTGCACACGCATGTACGCACGCACGCACGCCTACGTGCACATGCACACGCGCGCGCGCACGCACACACGCACTAACCACATCTGCACGCGCGCGCACGCACGCACGTGTACTTGCACACGCACGCACACACTCATGCACGCACACACTCATGCACGCGCGTGTACATGCACACGCACGCACGCACGTGTACGTGCACACGCACGCACGCACGCACGTGTACCTGCACACACACGCACGTACGCACGCTCGTGTACGTGCACACACACGGACGCACGCACGCACGCATGCACGCACGTGTACGTGCACACACACGCACGCACGCACGAACGTGTACCTGCACACGCGCGCACGCAAGCACGTGTACGTGCACATGCACGCACGGACGCATGCACGCACGTGTACGTGCACACGCACACACACGCGCACGCACGCACACATGCACGCACATATACGCACACACGCATGCACGCACGTGTACGTGCACACGCACGCACGCACGTACGAACGTGTACCTGCGCACGCGCGCACGCACGCACGTGTACTTGCACACGCACGCACACACTCATGCACGCACGTGTACGTGCACATGCACGCACGCACAGATGCACGCACATGTACGCACTCACGCATGCACGCACGTGTACGTGCACACGCACGCACGCACTCAAGCACGCACGCACGCACGCACGCATGCACGCACGTGTACGTGCACACGCACGCACGCACTCACGAACGCACGTGTACGTACACACGTACGCACGCACGCACGCACGTATACGTGCACACGCACGCACGCATGCATAATAAATCGGTAATAATCGATATCGGGTGTTGTCGTGTAGACGCTACATAATCGCTAACTCGAGTTAACGCTCAACTCGAGTTAGCTTAACTCGAGTTAAAGGCATAATTCGACCATTGATTATGCAATTTTAACGAATGCTACAGTAACTGGCACCTTGTGTAGTTAATAAGTACATTACCTTATAGCCAAACGCGTATTAGTTTGTCCAATATCACTGCTGGTTACTAAGAAATATCCAATTGAAATCCGCGGTCAAATAAATCCGTTGTTGACAGTTTCAACCCGCTATGCCGGCCGTAACCGGCGAGGCGGTGTCATACAGATTATAGTGCACCGGACATTTTCGCACGTATGCTCGGCCGTCAGTGATTTCGATCCTTGTAGTCTGAGTGCGCATTCCGTACGTTATGGTTTTACTCTTGGGATTCGGGAATAAATGAATATACGAAGTTCTTGAGATTACAAGCAACATATAATATGTGGCAACTAGGCAAATAATAACACTAGGCAAACAATTTACCCGGGACAAACAATTCGATGCTCAACATCCTGTAGCAACATGTGACGTCACCGAACCGAACTCGATGTTTATTTTGTTGGCAATAAATTTAGCGTTGTCGCCAGATTACCAAATTTACGGATTTCAATTAGACATTTCTTAGTAATTAGCAGTGATATTGGACAAACTAATACGCGTTTGGCTATAAGGTAATGTACTTATTAACTACACAAGGTGCCAGTTACTGTAGCATTCGTCAACTTTGCATAATCGATGGTCGAATTATGCCTTTAAGGTTCGTCGTGTAGACGAGGCTATAGATATACAATACATGTGTGTATACACATGTGACAATTAACACATGTGATACCATTTGTATATCTATGGTGTTACAAATTACAGATTTATGTTTACATTGACTAAACTCACCAAGCACCTGCTCCTTCGAATCGCTCCCAAACTTTTAATAGAACGCAATTTCTAATATACTTATGCAATATTGTAGCATAGAAAAATGTTTTCATTTGCAAACCTCAGGAAATAAATAAATATTTTTTAATAATTTCACTAGTCCGTCCGTGACATTAGTAATAGTACAGTAGCATTCGACCAAACGATATCCTGACCGCAACAGACGCGGTTTGTCCGCGCCCTATCCCTGTACATTGGTATATACATACAGCCATAGAAATAGTATAGATACCGTGGTAACCATACTATTTAGATAATAACCATACTATACTGGTTATCTATACTATTTCTATGGGTACAGCAATAGACCTTCCACAGAGCAGTGCCACCACATTGAAGTAGCCAGGGTGCAATAAATACGATGCGTATACCTTCTGTAGACATGCCACACTCCAGGGGGCGACGATCCTGGGGGCAGGGGGGGGGGAGTCGCCCCCAATAGTAAAAAGAGAGGCGAAGATTCCATTTTGCCATATGGATTTTTCGGTGTGATTTTATTACACGTTATTTATGGATAGATAGATGGATGGGTAAATGGATGGATAGATAGATAGATAGATAGATAGATAAATAAATAGATAGATAGATAGATAGATAGATAGATATAGATAGATAGATAGATGGATTTTTGGGTATTTTTCTTTCAACCAAGTGGTCACCAACTGAATGCTTTATTTCCCGGGCAACGCCGGGTGTCCTACTAGTTTATTATAAATAAAAAACGAGGCAATTTTGGTCAGTATGATAGGTACATTATAATGTTTTTAAATAGCATATGATTGTAGAGAAAAACGAAGAAACTACGCTCATGGAGTGGGGAGAGGGGGTTGGAGTACGTTTCTCTCAGATTCCCCCTCCCGCATGCAAAATACACTAGAAATCGCGTTTTTAAAGGGTAAAAATGTAAAAACAAAATCCCAAACGCTTGGTCGCTTTGTTCCCTCACATAGGTTTTCTCGGGATTTTGTTCAGTTTTTTTCTCCTCCCCCCCCCCATTCTGAAAAATTTCCGAATCCTTGGTCTCATCGCTCCCTCAAGTAGGTTTCCTCAAGATTTTGTTTAGTTTTGCCCCTCCCCCCATCCTGAAAACAGATCGACGCCTCTGTCAGTCCAGATTAAATGCTTAACATCGGCCCTTCGTCATATCTTTTGGGCGACAGGTCGCGGTGTACATTGGTAGGCCCTAATTGGTAAGAGACTTTTCACAAAACAGTGCATGCCACCACATTGAAGTAGCAAGGGTGCAATTTACGACGCGCACATTCTGTAGGAATTTCACACTCCAGATTAAATGCTTATCGTCGGTCCTATATATACGTCATTTCGCTTTGGCCAACAGGTCGCCGATGTGTCCGCACCCTATGCCTGTAGGTTCATCGGTATAGCAAGAGATATTCTACAGAGCAGTGCCACTACATTGAAGTAGCGAAGATGCAATTTGCGATGTGCACCTTCTGTAGGAATGCCACCCTCACATTAAATGCTTAACGTCAGTCCTACGTCATTTCCTTTAATGTGCAAGAGATTGGCGCTCGCATCGTGTAACGCCAATAACAGCCAATAGAGTTCTCTGCTAGGTATCTTGGGCGCC